GAATCACCGAAGGTGTTAAGTTCAGATAAAGTATTGTATCTCAAACGCCATTTCTTTGCTTGAGTTCGGATGGCTTTATCGCTTTCAGTTAATAAATGAACGATTTCTCGCAATAATTCATCACATTTTTCAGGAGTTTTTTTAATGACCTGCATTTTTAATTTTGCGGTCAATACTTGAGTTGAATCACGGGCATACACGAGATCAGATACGTAAAGAAGGAATTGAGCGATGTCAAGATCGAAATCAGGATGTTTTTCAACAATTTCTTCATCTTCCTTATGGAATGGTTTATCTAACGCGTCGACTCCATCTTCTGCAATAGTACAATTCAATTGTTTTTCGTAGAATTCGGAATCAACTAAACCGATAAAATAGGGAAATTTGACACGTGATACAAATTAGTCTTAAATAAGAGGAAGCGATCACTTCACCGACAATTATAATTCATGACGAATCTAGTATAACCACCACGACCATTTACGTACGGAGTTTTAAATACATATAATTTAATATAATAAAAATTTTCATGTAACAAAATCACTTGAAAATTTGGATAATGCTAAGTAGCGTAAATGATTTGGGTGGTTATGCTAGAGGGGTTATAATTCATTGATAACCAATTTATTAGTATTCAATTTAGGTGATAGGAAAAGTTGTCAGTAAAAGAAGAATTTGTAGAGTGGTTGTCTGTGAAGCGATATGAACCTAAATAATAAAAATAAATTCATACATGATTCTGGACAAGATACGTATTTTCTCCATTCTTTATCAACAAAATCAACAACAGTGTCCAAATGGACGATATGAAGAATAATCAAGGATAACTCAAAAATCGCGAAGCCAAATAACACGAACGGGTAGACAACGATTAGATACAACCAATTCAAAGGATGAGTAAATGGCAAAGTCCAGTCAGTTAAGAGCGTAAGGAAGCCATCAAGAGCAGCTCGGAATAAGGCGACCAAATTATGAAATTGCAAATGGCATGGAACAATCCTATAAGTGTGTTTTTCGGTTTTAATCCAATATTGATCAATTCGACGGATTTTTGGAAAAAATTT